ACACCTAATAATTGGAAGCTTGACTCCATTATTTGACTATAATAAATAACAATTTACATTAATGCTTATTTGAAGGGCTTAGCTTAAGGTAAATATGGTACTATTGCCTTCACCCAATGTAATCCAATCAGCAGTGCTCACAAAGCTGAAGCTGCAAGGGTTGGTTAATTGCATATGAAAGATCAAAAGCATTTGATGATTCACCAACTACATAAAACATAAAAAAGGATGGCTACAATTATTCTGTTGTTTGCTTTATGAGGAGAAAATGTGTTCAAATTGAAGGAATATTATTGTCCATTAGTCCAGCATGCATTACTGTTGAGATAATAAGTTACAACATGTTGGTTCACGGACCCTCATCGCTCCCTCTGTTGTTTCTAATGGGGTCGATGGTGAAGTGCACTGTTGACTGTGACTCATCACTCTATGATTTTGCATCAAAGCTTTGTTTTTTTCCTCTTTCTGTTTAAAAGAGGCCACGGTATCATGCACAGGACCACTGCTGTGAGGAGTGAAATATTTTAGGTCCCATTTACTGCTTTTTTCATGCATAACAAAGGTGCTTGGTGCTTGTTCTTCAGATTCTTGACTTAGTGTTCTGTGGTGCACAACAAACTTTGATACACTAAACAATTAATCTAAAAACTATAAAGATGTAATTTAATAATGAGCCCTGGAAAAGCTGTGCCGGTTGTTCTGCTTGTCTCTGTCGGAGAGAGGAAAGATGGACTCTTTTATTTTCCTTTAAAACCTAATAAGACAAAATTTCCCATTTCTGAGGCACTTCACCTTGAAATAAAATGTTACGGATAAAGAATGAATCTGTGAAATGCTATAACTCGGGTAGTGTTTCTGCCCTGTGTGTTTGCCGGCTTACACAGCCCACAAGGAGCTTGCGAATTTGTAGAGACCACAGATTAGAGAGAATGGGGCGCTGTGTTCGAGTCAGCCTTGGTTTAAGTCGGGTGTGAATAAGGGATTGTTGAAGTGAATGAGGGGCGCTGCAGCTCTCAACGTTGAGCGGAGAAGCTCTGCTGGGGCAGGATCAAAGAACTCAGTCAACCAAGGCTGCTGCTCAATCCAGACTTTAGTCAACCAACCACACACACTAATCTCTTGCCGAGGTCTCGTGAGAGGACAGAGAGGCATCAAGCAAACAGAGGCTAATGAGCATCTACCATACAACAAGATCAAATGACAAACAGAAAGGATAATACTGGAGATATAGATGAGTCAAACTCCTCTCCAATTCTATTAACCTCTGAAACTCCCACAGACCTACTGCTAGTATTCAAAAACACTAACTATACTGCTGAATTGCACCAGTATAAATTATAAAATGCTGAACAAGACATTTCTTTAACGGAGGCCATTTGGAATTGAGATGCTTAACATAAAATACTATTAATATTAATAATACAATGGAATCATTTCAGTTCATTTAAAAATTAGTGCCACAATAACCAGATTCACCAGCACGAATCAACTGAATCTGTGTAAATCTTACGCACTGTCTTCAACATGGGTGAAATCTGACACAGATTCTTGCTATGGACCAACAGCAAACTGTCCTGACAGCTCTGACCTTTGTGGGAATGGGGAGCTGGAGAGTCCAAAACAAAAGAAGCTATCAGAGCTTGTAGTATATTAGCTTTGTTCCACCTATCACTTTTGTGGATGCAGCCCTGCTCTGCCAGAGAATACACGGCTCCACTAAAAAAGTTTGCAAACAGTCATGAGACAGCAGTCGAGAACACAAGTACATTTTTAGAGTTGCGTCTCAATTCGGTGTCAGGTTAGTGACTGACCTAGCAAGCCAGGGATCTTGGAGAGAATCGCCAACATCGTCTGTTGACTAGCGTGTTAGCCGTTAGTTTGCCAACTACAGTACTTTGCTGACTAGCTCCGTGAACGGTCCGTGGTACAGCATCAACAATTTCACAAGCTTTGTTTTTCCACTTGATCTAGTTTGGGCTCTGGAACGTTTTCTTTTCCCGTGACCACATCTGACGACGAATGGATATGGCAGCATCACAAATGGATCTGGAACACTTGCATTTTTAAAAAAATATTTCAAAGTAAGTGAACCATTGAATTCATGGGGGCAAGTGAGTGAGGGGTTTAATACCAGTGTTTGAGATTAAGGACACTGATTTACTTTCTTTTTTTCTTTTTTTTTTTCAGCAAATCGTGTCCAAAAAATGGTAATTCAACTAAAATTGTGACATTTTAAATCTATGATACAAAGAAAGCTCTTTGATTTCTGGTCTTGTATGACAGCCTCAGTGGTCACAAACCACTCTGTACAGTGGTTTCAGTCTCAAATCACTTGACTGAGCATGAGGCACCTTTTATCATGGTTCATCCGCTGCAATTAATCTTTAACAGATGTGATGCAACTCTCTCTCCCTCTCTATATTTAAGGACACTAATGCTTTCAGAAACTTAAAAAAAAACCAGTTGGGAGTGTAACCATACTGAGCCAATGAAAGGCAGAGAGTTGCAGTACTGCAAAGGTGGTTGTGAGTTTCTTTCTCCATACTGTGCATCAATTGGACTCGAATATGACCGGATTCCAAGTCTCTCTGGGAGAATGTAAGGCATACAGAGAGATGGAGGAAAAAGATGATTGGACGTTCAGAATACCCAAACCTTAATTCTTGTGTGCAACAGACATTTATGGCTTCAGGATTGCTCAATAATGCATCAAAACCCACAGGCCTCCAGGGGAAGTAGTCAGTAATCAAAAAGTAAGTTAAGGTTTTCATAATAGGGCCCTATAAATAACTGGGGACAGAAATGAGGGCATGTAAAATTGATGAGGGATGATTCAAACCCCACGAGGTGGAGGGAACTTAATGCAAGGAGAAGGAATGTGATGTTGAGTGGCTTGGCGATAAAGACATGTGTAGAAGATGGCATTGCACAAGTGATTTGTGTCACCAGTCTTACTATATAACTGTACTGATATATGGACATTGTTCTCGAGGCATCGTCTGTGAAATGGTTCTATTAATGTAGAAATTCACTCCAGCTTTTAAAGTATTTTACTGTGCATTTCAAACAATCCGGCAACGCTCGCGTAACCTATGGCTATCAATAAAAGTTTTATAAAAAAAAAAAGGGCATTGATGTTGTAATTACTGGTTCTTTCTACTCCCGCGACTTAGACACGTTTCTCAGAAAAGCTTTAAAACTTTGTGTTTCTTGAGCTTCTCGTACATCTGAAGGTCACGTCTTTGTTAATGTTATTTCATGGAATCAATGCCAGGATCTAAGGTTAATGAATTCCATATATTTTCATAAATTCTCCACTATCTGCAAACAAATATGTGAATTGCACATTAACAGAAATCAGACAATTTAAAACTAAACAATAATAGGTCTTATATGGAACATATGGAGCACTCATATAGAGGGTTTAATGCAGGGATTTCCAAATTGAGTATTTTTGGTCCTGATGCCAAAATCCTTTAATATTGAGTATCTGCTGGTACTGAGTCTGATCCAGTACTTATAATGACCTAAATGCTGGTTAACTTCATATATATATGTGTCAATTTTACAAATCTTATTTTTCATAAACTGCTTCATTTAAATACTGAACATCAATATTAAGTTTATAAGCTCGAAATTAATGATATGACTAGAATGAAAGTAACTAGAGAATGCGACTCATATAATTCACGTGACGTATCACTCAGTTGGAGTTGTGGGAACTACAGAAAGTAGTCCGAATTAATCATTTTTTGTATTATCGAAACAAAATGATATTATCTAAATTCAGCCTTTGAGACTATGTTTAAAATTATCCTGATAAACTAATCCCTTCAAATGAAACGATAACACTTGAATTCTATTCTAGTATAGTTCCAGGGACATGCAGCTATTGTCCTCAGTCCACTGCCAAACCCCACAGATGAATCATTTAGCACTCAGAAGAGAAAAATTTGAAAGAGTGTTCTTGATGATTTTTGGCCAGGTGAAACATCCATCTCGCTCATTCCAGCTATTTCCTGTTTAATGCTGCCACACGGTTTTCAGTTTGTATCACACTTGACATCACGTACGGAGGAAACGAAAGATGGATTTTAAACATGCCGTTTGCCAAGGACCATAGAAAACGCCCTTATTCAAGATTCATTAGTTCCTCTTTTTGTACTGAAGGACCTGCATTCCCTCTTCCACCTGCTCACAGATATTACTTATGCAGAACCACAGAAGCCCGAGCAAAAAAGGCTCAGAGATTTTTCAGTTACTGTACACAGGGTCACAGCTTCAATTCATTGATCTTTTTTTTTTTATTTTTAAAAAACATCTCCCACAGATTTGGTATTTACTGTCAAGTAGAACATTTTGTTGATCGAAACTAGACCCTTTGATGCCATCCATTGAAGCTGATGTGAACCTGACAAAACTTCTTGTTTACATATAAAATAGAATTTTAAATCAGGCAGCTGATCCACTACGAGGAGACAGACACAGGTGATACAGTGACAGTATAAGTGGCATGAAGACTCTGAAGCACCTTGATCTCATACTGTGCACCATGTGAGATCTCCTAACAGTGATGCAGTGCACTGACTTCAGTTTTACAGACTGTCAGATTCGCCAATAACATGTTTCACCACAAAGCCACATTAGCGCCGTCTTGCTCTGTCGATACATGAGTAAATTCACGGAGGACATGAAGCACAAAGCACCAGCAGACCAAACATTGTGCTTCAGTCAATCAGAAAAGCACAAAGTGTGTTCAGTGGGGAAGAGCGGAAATAATAGCTGCTCGGACTTTGTGGATGAAGAAGAATATTCAAAACCGATCTGCTCCTATCTTATTCATAAGAGTCGTAGTAATCATTAATCATGCCATCAGTAGTCTGTGTTTACAAGTGCTTATCTAGAGTGCATTCACTTGGTGGTGGCGTCCAGGATAGCAATTTATATCACACTCCCTGCATGTTAAACAGATAAAACAAATCCTTCCAACTCCAGCTTACCATCAAACTTTTTATGCCTCGAGACAAACGTCGTCCTCATATTGTGGCTGCTCTCCTCAACCAGGTTCTCGAACTCCAGTTTGCTCTGCTGGCTGAGTTTGTCCACCATCTCGGACGTGCAGCAGGTGTATCCCCGAGGACAGACACGCAGGTGCTCACCTGAGGGAGACAGAGACACAGAGCGCCGTTTTTACACACATCACTGCCACAGGATTCGGTTTTTCAAAAGGCTGAGCCGAGTCTTTGATCAAAAGACTCCTGTGATTTTGGGACTCCTCATCACTGAAGCTATCAAAGCGGGACAGACCGTAACAAATGGAGAAGGATAATATTTGTCAGTAACCTGCTATCCTGTGAAACAGAGAGCAGCTTTGATATGGCAGCACAAACAGTCAATGCAGGATTTTCTTTATATCACAGGCCAAACCACTGCAATATCGGAAACTGGGCTAATGTTGATCAGCATTACGCACATCAAATGGAAGGTAATGCATTCAGAATCAGTTTATAGAAAGTGCTAAGAATATACCAAGTAGCACAGAGCAGACAAAATTAGCATTGAAATGCATTCATTTTTAATTTTTTTTTTGGTGTTGGTGGTACAACAAGCTGTAAACCAAAGACTGACACACTATCACCTTATAAACAAATGTGTTAGCAAAGAAATGCTCATTTACTCATGGACCAGACATCATTGAACACATTTTGAGTCCTTGTTTCTCTCCACTTGATGAACAAAAGTCCAATTTTAGCTTTCCTTTTAGTTCTGATTTGGCCTCCAACAACTCCTGAGGGAATCATTTGGCTCTCGAGCAGCTCATTGACCTCTGCTTGCTAAAACCGTGGTCGCCCAAATCAAATTCAAGTCACTAACGCCTTGCCTACAGAGTGACCTCTGGGTCTACAACCCTCTAACTGAACTCCATCATACAGGCTTAGGCTCCTTCTCCCTGGGATGTCGTTTGCAATTGTTATCCCTGCACACAAGGCAATCCAGACTGTTTGCGTCTGTGGTTCCCTGATAGTGGAACGAGCTGCAAAATGCTACCAGAGCAGGGGCGTCCGTCTTTATCTTTCAAGAATCTCTTTAAGACTCATCTCTTCCAAGAGTACCTCCTCCCCTTACACCCCTAACACTGTAACATGCCTAACAAGCACTTACTATGCACTTTCGGTGCACTATTCTCCTTGCATTTTGCCTTATTGAATACATTTAGGTTACTTAATACTTACTTCAAGGTGTCCTACTGCACTACAGCTTTAGTGATGTCCCTCACTTGTAAGTCGCTTTGGATAAAAGCATCTGCCAAATGAGTAAATGTAAATGTAAATGCTCCACAATGTTCGCCTCCTCGTCGCTAATTGTGTCCATCTGCAGTTTGGTGCTGAGCGGGTAGTGTGTGGTGTATTCATCTGAGCTGTTTTGCTTTAAAACAACTGTCTGAAAACTATACAGACTACACCAAACACAGTGAACGACAGCAGTACAGCTGCGGGCCTGAACACCAAAACAATCAGCTCAATGATGCTAAAATGGCAGATAGAACTGAGGGGAACTGCAGAGTTGGGTTTTATTCCTTTTTGGCTTCATCGCTATGAGTGACTCTTTTCACATGACATTGTTAACAAAAAGAATAATGATTATTGCAGCTGGAATATTTGAATTTCAGAAACATTTTTGAGATCACAGCTCATGTGCTCTAGTACATTGTTGCTTGTATTTAGTTTTTAAAGATTTAGTTCAGTCAGAATTAAAAAAAAATGTTGTTGTTGCCTTATTGCGGATTGATTTCAAACTACAACTGCCAGCACAGTACGATTAAACAGCATCCTTCCTGGTTATTAAGAACAATCCATAGACCTCACCTTGCTTACTTCAATAGAATACTATTATAATCTCCACTAACCAGGAGTCTTTTGAAAAGGCAAGCTGCTGCTGATTTTGTAAATGCAATATTTTTGCACACTGCAACTAAATTCTGCAGTAGGGGCAGAAAGACCTGTGGTGGAGACCTCAAACCCTCACCACATAAAACCAACGTTTTCATGACCAGGTACCAGCAAGGATGAGTGGGGAAATGTTCATTATTCAGAGAAATAGTCGCTTTAAGAAAGTAAAAAACGATCGATAAGAGTTCATCATGATAATGTGATGCCTTACAGAGCCTTGGACTCTTGACTCTTTGTACTTGATGTGGTGTTGAAGCCTCTATTCAAAGAGCGTTTAAAGTATAAAAAAAAAAGGAATGTGAAATGTTTCTGGTGAATAAGTGTTTGGATTTGGAGCCGTGATTGATTCAAGGTGAGCGATTTAGGAGAATTGAATCAGTTGGACCTGTATCTGTATCATTGATAAACAGAAGTATTGGATCCGCAGAAGAGTATTAAATAATTTCACAAATTTCATTGAGTTAAGAATTATTTAGAAACTAAGAAAAAGAGAAACTGTCCTTGTTTGGCTAAAGCCTTGATTTTAAAGGGAGGGGTTACTCTCTGTAGATTATTCTCTGTATAGAAAGAGTGTAAGTGTGTAACAGGCATGGATTACATAAAGGAAGTAGGAAAAAAAAGATTCTGAAGTCTGATGAAATGAAAAAAGTTAACTCTACCATCACAATGTGCTGTGCTATCTGACAGAAACCAGGCTTAGCCCATCAAGCATTTAACACTATCTCTATCCCAGAGCATGGTGATGGCCGCGTCACCAGGCAGGTGTACAGGGACTGAGAGACATGAGATTAGAGGCAACGCTGATTTGAGCCAGATACATACAGATTCCTGAAGTAAAACCCTGTGCAGAGTGCTGATGGTTGAGACAACTACACGTCCAAACAGCTTTAGGACAACACTGAAAAAGTCCATGAGTGACTTTTAAATCAAAGGGAGAATCTGATTTGTGACACACACGGTGTAACCGCACAGACAATACAACACGACTCAACCAAGCTTGACTAAATCTGAAAGGATGCATGTGACAAAAGGCTTAAAATCACCAAAGTACACAAAAAGTCTGAAATCACTCCCAAAGCTGCTTTGACTAAATACTGTTGATCGAAAACTTTGATCCATTCTGAGTGTTGTAAAGGATCTTGTGTTGTAAAAAAAAATAATAAATATTAGATCAATTATCAGATAAATTACAATAACATATCAAAATATAAAAAAGTTTTAAAGTATTTCTTTTCATGTAGAATTATTTGCTGATTCTAAAACGTTAATGTCAGATGGTATTTGACTAAATGCATCAGAAATTGCAACATCAACTGACTTTTAGAAAAAAAAATGAAAGTGAGTGAGCTGCATAAATGATTCAGAAGTCAGAAAACCCTGTGGCCTGAATTTGCCCATTTCCAAACTAACGTGACATGTTTTCCCTCTAGTGACAAGATTTAAATTTCTTTCTGTAATTTCTTTCCATTACGGGGCCCATTTTGTTGTTATTTCTGAGAAAAAGCACTTTATTGTAAAGTTGTATCTAAGAGCTCAGCAGCAGGAGCTTATGAGAAGGACTTGAGGGCTTCATCATGGATTACATGTCAGTGAGAAGATGAGTAAACAAAAAAAAAAAAAGAGAAAGAAAAAAGACTGAGACTGTGGCTGTAAAAACATTGAAAGTACGCTGCTCATAATTGTGTACTAACTGTTAGTCTTCCTGGGCAGTAAGATCTGCCAAACCAGCAAAGTTGTGGCCTAAGACGGCAGTAGTTGTGCAAATTCTTTGGGAAATAATTACTAGTCTTTGATTCATTACCGATCTGTACAAATAGAGCAATATCTGAGGAGCCACATTTTTGCATGCATGCTGTATTATATCTCATCTGAGAGGATCACACATCATTATCAGAGGTTTAAAGAACAAAAAGTCTAGCCGGCAGTTGCCTTAAAGATTCGAGTTTTGTGAAGTTTTTTTTCTTCCAGTTCTACCTATTAACATTTGAGAAAAGGGAAAGACGGAATGACTGTCACTGTACCAGTGGGTGGGGGGGTGTTGGCGCAGAATGGCCTCAGATTGTGGGACTTTTTCTGATGGTTTCTATACTGCACAATGCAGGCACTGGCACGCACACTGGTGCTCTGCATACATATACAGTAAGCTATAGAGATGAAGGAGCTGTGCGTGGATAATGAAACAAAGAGGATATGCAGTATGTACGTGCTGGCACTCTCAAATGTGCTTAATCCTTAATCAGTCCTTAGAGAGGCACCAAGCTACAATAATGAGGTGCACCATCAACGGTTCAACACAAGCCCATTGTCTCCAGAGTAATGCACGAGCCTCCTGGCCACAGAGACCAAACTCTCTGAAACAACAAAATAAGCTGAAATGCAGCCGTTGATTTCTATTTGGTGATTCTTTAAGGATCTTTTGTTTCGCTACCAAGCAACGATGTTGACATCTTTTAGCAATGCATCATTCCTCAACTGTCACACATTATTTCTGCTGTGTGAAGACATAGCCCTGTGTGAAAATCTTTACTCCAAGCTGTGATCAGTTCAACACATGCCTGTAGAGAAAACTGCATGCAGCATAGAGGGTTTGAGGTTAGTGTAGCATATTGAAACAATTTCATTTATTTATTTTGTCATCATTAAATTTTCTTTGCAGAAATCACTGCTGTTTATTTTTTCCTGCCAATATTCCTGTCACTTTGTGTTATATCAGTTTTGCTTTCATGTGAGCTCCCATTCACTGACATACAAGCATCATTAAAGTATCAGTCACATTTTGATTCTGGAGGAAGATGTTAACATTGATTTTTAATGCTAATACTGTAATGCTACTCGCATGCATCAGCTGTTTGGGAAATATCAAAGAAAACACTTCATCTCAGCCTTGTGGACCATGTTTCCCCGGGATCTGAACGTGTAGCATTTGAAACAATACCGAGGTGAGACTGTGGCACAAGGGTAAATGGTTTATTGTCATAATGATGGATAACTTAAGAATAATGACATTTTCTCGCTGCATTAGGGAGCCCTGCAACTCTGAAGTAAGTCAATTTCAAGTTGAAGTTTCCATCGATGCAATAAGTCGACTTAACTTGTCAAAGTAGGTGGAATATCACTGTAGGCCACCAAAGGTTGGCACAAAAAAAAATATATATATATATATATATATGAAAAAAGGCAAACTGTCCTTAAGAGTGAACAACAGCTGA